TGGGTTGTTTTAGAGTTCATCATAAATCATAAGTGTGGCAGATCATTCTTAATTGTACCATTAGAATAGTTCCATTTAATGAAAAATTTGCACTATAAGTTGAAAAATACATGGAACTTCTGAAAAATATTCTCTCCCATTTGAAGTTTTGAGAGTAAAATTTGTCCAACATGATTCAGAATTTCATTTTCCCCTTCTGAACCAAGAAGAAGAAAACGGGAAGCCCATAACTAAATGCCACCAACGTTGCCATTCCTGCAACCAAATTTCCATACTCAAAATCAGACATACATTTCAAGTTTATAGTAGTTTTTTTAGTGCAAAATTCATAAGACCAAGTAGAATCTAAATAAAAAGAAAAAGAAAAGAAAAAGAAGTGTTTTGAATAAGCTAGCCTTACCACATGGGAGATATCTAAATAAAAAGAAAAAGAAAAGAAAAAGAAGTGTTTTGAATAAGCTAGCCTTACCACATGGGAGATATCTTGGAAAGGGCCTTAAACTTTTTGATGTTCTGTGAAGTTTTGGGGATGGTGATTCTGCCATTAGCACTAAAATCATGGAAGCCATAACCAATCCACTTCCTGTTTTCTCCCTCACCACTCTCTCACTTAAATCTAGAGAGAGAAACCCTGCAATTCCATTCACATAATCCTCTGCTACCACTTTTACCCACAAATAAATTCCAAGTCCCAGTGTAGCCTTGGCAACATAACCTATGGTTTCTGAGGAGATAACCCAGTTGGGAAGATTCACAGCACAAGCACAGCCATAAAGTGGAACCCACAAATACCAATCTGCCCAAATTGAGATTCAACCAAACAATATTTTCTAAGTTATTCCCAAATCAAGATCCAGTTTCTAAAGTTTGAAAACAGCCTTAGATTTTGAAAAGTTTGGATCTTTAATTTCCCTGTTTGATAATTGAAGGATAAGAAGAAAAGGGTATTTTCAGTACCAGGATCGTTAAACTGAACAGCTGTGGAATAAGCAAACAGAAACGCCATTAACAGAGAGCAGCTGCTGTATAATTTGGAAGGTGTTGCCATTTTCTACTTTTGTCCAGAGCTCCGATCCAATAGCAACTCTTCATGGTCAACGCCATTATGATTTTGTTTTTAATATGGTTCAAGTAAACCATAAGTTTAGTTGTATCAGAAATGGCTTAAAGTTTCCTTTGTCGGCTGAAAATTAATATCCACTCACATGGGTTTGGTGGAAAGTTGATAATTGATCATCGATAAGGTTTTGTTAATCAAAATCTAATCTAAAAAAGTTGAAAAGGCTTAAATTAATCAGTGTATGACTGTTAATTACTATTCTTCTTATTTGAATCAGCAAAGCAAGTTTGTAATCCAACGAAGCCCAATTAAACCAGTTTGATGATAGGTTTCTCAAATGATACAATTTCTTGAGTACTCAAATAATTACGAGGAATATAATAATAACATATGATGTGGCCATGCAAATGCCTTATTATTTGGCAGCAAAAGCAATATTCTTTTTGCATGGTCCTTGCCTTGTTTTGTTTGAGGTAAAAGATTCTTTTGTCATATATTATGTTTTGTGACATTTTACTGAGAAATGCCCAAATGAATGAAGCCAACAGAAGAAAGTTCAAATGGAAAAAACTTTCATCCATTGGATTGAAAAAAGAAAGGCAGGCAGTTGAAGTTGCAGTAAATGTAGCAGTTATATACCAAACCATAAGCTTTATGAATGGTATGCTGTAAGATGTAACAAAAAGAAAAGAAAAAATGACAGTTTTCTTGTGTGTCATGTCATAATCAGAGTGTTTGGATGCCTTCCTTTTCCCCACTTTGTTTGTTGGATATGTTGTTCATTTTCTAAGAATGAATGGTTTTATGCATTTTTGTAAAGTAACCACTCTCTTTTGGTTTGGTTTCAAAAAATTTGTCCGCTGCAAATTAGTACGATTCACCACAACCCAATGTAAATCGAATATACTAGTAAATCACATTATGCTCTCTTTGCGTTTGCCACTGGATATGCTTCTATCGAGAGATTTTTCTCCTATGTGTCTTACTTTTTCTCACCTCGAGAGCTTGAGCATAATTCTTCAAAAAAATAAAAATAATAGGTTATCTTACAAAAAAGCATTAATCCTAAGATTGGTTGACTAGTTATCCTTTTTTCTTCCTTTTTTTTAACAATGTGGAACAAATTTGAATTTGTCAACCTTACTTTCTATTGTGATGGTTAGATAGTATATCTCAACCTACGATTACCCACATAAATGAGATCCAGATAGTAGCTGTTGATGTAGACAGTAGTAAAGAAGTTGAAGAGACGCCTATATAGCTCAACTAGAAATTTGTTATTACGAGTATTCTATCGTGTGATATACCCCATTAGGATTATTTTATTGAAGATAATTTAGATTATCATAACTTATAACGATGTGTTACAAAAGGTTTTAATGTGTATATCCTAATTAAACAAGTAATTATTAATGCATGTCATCAAATGGGTTGGGGAAATTAAAGGCCATTATTTTTGGAGGGGATCCCTTCATAACTTTCTTTCCCATAATGTGGCCCCTTGTACCCATGATGAGTGTAAGTGGAGACAACATACTAATGTTATCAAAGGGGACAACACTTCTCAAATAAAGACCCACTCTAATGAACATACTTGAACAATACATCTCCAATATGATAGGTCTCCACAATTGGATGGGTAGATGAATGTTGAAAATGGTTTATTCATTTATGAGCCAACCCAAAATGAAGGCGCTTGAAAGTGATTGATGGATGTTGTTTAAAGTTTAAGATAACCTCTAAGAAGAGGTTATAATCTTCGTAAAGATAAACAATCCAAAACTTTTGTTTTAAGCCTACAAATAATATCGTTATACTTGTAAAAACAAGTTGTTACCTTTAAGTTATACATTTGTAATATCTATCATTTTTCAATTCTCAAGTACATACATAGCGTTGCTGCCGATTAACATCTAAAGTGATATGGGCGGAGGTTCAAACTCGATTTTTAGTTGATGATGTATGCTTGAGTCAATTGAGTTATTTTCATGTGAGGATTGACAGTGATGGAGGAGGGAGTTGCATTCAAAGGGAAAGATTTTGCATATGGGAAGGCTGAGTTTGTAGATTAGAAATTAAATAAGACTATGCTGACAGGAAAGGTTTGACAACGAGGCCATGAGCTATGTAACATTTGGAGTAGTTGCCGTTGGCCCATTTTTACACCAATCACTACTCATCTACCTTTCTCAATTATTTCTCTCTCATACCCCATTTATTAGTTACAATATTTTTTTCCCTTGAGTACTACATGTGTGTTGTCGATCCAAATTCATGACGTTTTAGTTGGGTATATATGCTTTAATCAGTCGAATTATGGTTATGTTGACCTCTCTCTTCTTCTTCCTTTTAATATATTTTAATTTTTTTTAAAAAAATTACACCATCCTTCCATTATGATTCTAGTACTTTTCATTTATTTTAACTCAGTTCATATATTTTATTTTAATACTTTTGTAAATATGTAGAAACTATTGAGTTACATTAATATGATATATGGTTTTATCTATATAGAAAGTTGAAATAAATACCATTAAACTTTGGTTAACTTTTTAAATTATAATTATAAGACCTCAAATTGACAATATGTTTGTTGAAAAAGTTCACGTTTTACCCCTATTAAATCAGGGAGTCAAATTTAATTAAAAAAATTTCAGTTCTATCCAATTAAATCTTAAAATTTAAGTAAATGGAGACTTGACATTTTGTTACTAAGTTTGAGACTTATTTATTATCTAATTCATTTTATAGTTAGAATCAAGTACTTAATTTTTTTTTTTTTTTTGTTGAATTTGGGTATAAAATACTTTTGAATATTTGGTGGTTTACTTTTGTTTGGTTTGTTGATTGATTGACGAACACTTTTATTTTAATTTAGTTGTGAGAAGATATTAATCATATCATGAAGGTAAATTCAAATATAAAATTGATCAAAATGAACTATCTTACAAATAAATCAAGATAAATTCAATTTATTAGTTAAGACATCTTATTACTTGTTTAGAGGTCGGAGGTTCAAAAATTTACGAGGATAAAATGGGTATTGACATTATAGCATGGGATAGAATATAAATTCCTATAAAACTATTTCTTATCCCATAAAAAAAATGGAAATAATGCCTCACTCAAAAATTGCACTCAACATAAATCATCAACCACAAAACCTAGAAATCAAAATAATAAATTAAAGAAAAGAAAACAAGTCAAAAAGCTTCCCAAGACAATGTTTCATATTTGGCCATCTGATCTGTCTTCATGATGGTGATGTTGTCTACTCTCCTTCTCCTTCTCTCTCTGTCTAAACTAAAGCAAATACATCAAAAACCAAAAAGAAATGGAAAAATGATGAAAGAAAGGGGAGGAACAAAACAAGATAGCAAACGTCTTCAAGGAGGTTTTTGAGCTTTAATTATTACTTAAAACATGGACCCAACATGGAAAATCTTGACAAGAGATCATGCAGGCAAACTTTGATTTGGAATTATGGGAAGCTAAGTTCTGATTGGAGGAAGAGCTGTAAGAAATCTGAGCTTTGACAAATGAGGTTGCTTTGGGGGAGATGAGGTTGTTGGAGGGGAAAATTTCTCCAATTATTTAGAACCCAAGTTGAATTTGCTTTGACTAGATAGTGTATCTCAAGCTAAGTTTGCAATTCAAAATTATTTCTTCTCTCTTTCTCAACCCATTAATTCTTCTAATCCAAATCTCAGTTCTATAATTTCAGTTTGGCCCACCAACATCATTCATATTGCTTTTGTTTGTTTTTTGTTTGTGACATCAGTGGCTTCACATATCTTAATCGAATTTGTTTGAACTTGATTTTGAAGTTAAACCAATTTTGAAATGAGAGTTAGCAAAACAAAACAGGTAAGAACAAGGGGCATGTAGTGAAGCTTCAGAGAAGACATTTGCATGTTGTTAGGATTTTTGTACCATCCTCATTTCCCATCATTTTCCATCATCCGCCCCCACAACCCCATGAAATCCGAAGCTTTCCACTGAGAAAATCAAGAAAAAAAAATGTTGTTTTTCTGGAGATGCCCTTGTCCTCCATTATTGCTCCCTCTTTGAGCTCAATTGAACAATGGGGTGAGGGCATTTAAGTCACTGAACTGACAATTAACGTTCAGGATATATTACCATCGTGGCCACTGAAAGCGAAGGGCTTCTCATTTTGGGCATGCCTAGAATATCCACAGATGAAAGTGAAACCAAGCCATTTGGGAACCCCAATAAAATTTCAAAAGTAGAATTGGAAATGATGAGGAGGGGCGTGCCTGTTTGATTACTGAGAAAGCTTCGTGAGTGCGAAACAGAAAGAGAGAGATTGCAGAGAAAAAAGAAAGAAAAAAAAAAGTTGTGCAAACAAATTCTGAGAGACCCACATGGAGCTACAATCATCAAAAGCGAGATGGAGGCAAATCGGTAGGTGATAAAGTAGAGCCATTCCCACCTCTTCCTTTCACTTTTTTTTTTCTTTTTTCTTTTGTGGGTCTTCTGATTTTTTCTTTACTTCACAAAGTAAAAGAGTCTCTTCACTAATTATTCCATTTACAAGGCTTTGTTCGCTGGTTCCCTTGATGCTTGACACCGGAGCTCGCTTTTCAATCATAATACGCAGTCGCGGTTTCGAATAAGAGGTGGGTTTTCTCAGACTTCTCTCTCTCAGGTCTTCTTCACTTTGGCACTGATATTATCGCAATCCAGAACAGATGGTGGTGAGTTTTGGGTCTTTGGGAAGATTTAAGAATCTCTAGTCTGCAAATGGAACAATGAAATTCAGTGCGCGGATGTTTGAGTTTTGTACGCTGTCTCCGAAAGGAAATGTACGAGGCTGCGAATCTCTCGGTGATGGTTTTAATGCTTTCGATTCTGAAGCAAATTAGGGGCGAAGGGGCGATCCGAGTACCAATTGCTTTTGGCTGAAAATACAGTTCTTCTTCCATTTGCCTTCCATTTCATCTTTCTGCTAAATTTGGATCGTCTGTCGTCTGATCTGATCTTCTAATATCAAAAGGTTATAAATTGGGTGCTTAAATTGAGTTAGAGATGCACTTTGTGCATGTGGTCGTTCAGTTCAAAGCTTGGAGTGTTTGATTCAGAAAGTAGGAGGCTGTAAGTTTCTTCCACATCTTACTTTCCTCTTTTATCTTCGAGTACGTATCTTTTTGTGTAGAAAGCTTTTGCGGCTGTTCTGAGGTGCTGTGGGTCTTTTGTTCTTAATGTGCTCTGTTTACCATATTTAAACAAGCTGCAATAAATCAATAAGAATGGCTGAAATAAGGTTAACTAGAGTAGAACAAGGCCAAACCAAGATTAAAAATGTTCCAATTGCTGTAACCCCAGAAGGTTTTTGGTGCTGCCCTTCTCCTGTTGTTTTTCAGAAGACCCTCAAAAGTCAAAATACTCTAAACAAACCTAAACCTGCCTCCCTTCCCCCTAAGATCCCTGTCGAGAAGAAATCATCCCCTGTGACTGATAGAAAGCCAGCACTTACGAGATCACGGTCAGCTGCTGTTTCTGATGATGACCGAAAAGGCAATGCTGATACTTCTGGCTTTAGTGCCCCAGAGGCTGTACATAGGGTATCACGACCTAAGATTGAAAATATGCCAAGAAAAATAGCAATTGAGTTTGGCGAGCCTGGGACAAGTAATATAAAGGTTGTTTTACTCGGGAAGCAAGGATTTTCGGTGAAGTTAAGCGTTCATAAAAATGTTTTGATGGATAATAGTACCTTTTTTGCCAATAAACTTTCTGATCAAGAAGGTTCCTCTCTGGAAATTGGTGATTGTGAAGATGTTGAAATATATGTTGAAACTGTGGGATTGATGTACTGCAAAGAAATGAAGCAATGGCTGATGAAGCAAAATGTTTCTCGTGTTCTGCGAATTCTGAAGGTAATAAGCGAATTCTTATAGTCATAGCATGTTATAATCATACATTTCAAGAATATTGTTTGTCCTTCTGTTCTTATGACATTGTGATGTTTCATTCGGTTGTTTGTGCTTCCTGATTGAAAATTATGAATCACATTATAATAAATATGATCTTTTCTACTAGGAGGGCATGAGATGGTTATTACCTGTTGCAATCCTAGTGGTTCAAAACAGAAGTTCACTAAAAATACTTGATATATTGTGGTGGGTGTATCGCGATACAGTCGTTGAAGCATTAACAGTCACAAGTAAGAGGATGGTATACGAGGGTGAGGACCATACAGTACAGATATGAGTAAGTGTACTGTGCAAACGTATAGTACACTCTTTAGGGTGTGTTTGAGAGTGATTTTGGCATGAGAAAATCACTTTTAAGGTATCACTTGGGGGTGATTTTGGAAAACCAATTATTCTTAAATTTTTTTTTTTTTTAAATCACTACTGCTACCATCACTCCCAAACACACCATTAGACTCTTGAGTGTGACATAATTGGGCATTCTTGCAACTTAGCTAAGTAGTTTTAAGACCTTCAAAATACTAAAATTTATGATTCTATTACTCTTGAATGCTGTTTAGCTCAAATTTTTATTCTTCATTCATTATTAGTTTTGGAACAAAAAGATAATAAGTAAAGTGGCCAGTTGAGGTTGAGTGGCTAGAGTTGAAAGGATGTCATTGGTCTTGCCACTGGAAGTATCATCATTTCTGATGTGTATCTAAAGATGCTTGGAGAAGCTATGTGGTGTGTATATGCATACATGAGAAAAAGATGATGGTAAGACTCAAAAGATCCTTCGATAAATCTTTTTTAGTTACCATATTGGGGTTTAATAGATTCTTAATTCCTACTCTGCTCTACTTGAAAGCTGCATATATAGAAATGGTTAGTAATATTTGATTGCTGTTAGAAGTATTGAAGCAATTTTGGATAAATCAAGTCAGAGAATTGGTTACTATACTATTGTCGAGGCATATAAATTGAAATTGGGAAGTACATGGGTTACATTTTCCTTTGACTCCCAGTTATTAAAAAAAAAAAAACTTAAATTTAGGTATCTGTGGAAAGATTAATGGGAAGGTTCTAAATCAAGGATCTTCATGGACGATTTCATATGCATTTTCTAAAAAATACTCCAAATATCAAATCAGGTTATTTGAAATGAGATCTTGTTATCTTATGTTGAATGAATTCTTTTAGCATGTGTAGTGGAGATCAAATTTACCTAAGATACTTGTTTTGTTTGCCTTGCAGGTTGCTGAATTTCTTGGCTTCAAGTCATGCATGCAATCATGTCTAGAATACTTGGAAGCTGTCCCTTGGGTTGGTGATGAAGAAGAAGAGAAGGTTGTCACGTCCATCCTCCGACTTCAAAGTGAGGGCATTGGAGTGAGCCCAGTACTGAAACGAGTGTCTGCTGGTGTGTCTAAACCCCATAAAGACACTCTTTCCCATATCATCGAACTTGTTCTTAGAAGCAATGAGGAGAGAGGCCGACGGGAAATGAAATTGGTGGTCCTGAGGCTCCTTAGGGAGAACCAGAGTGTCCCCAGCCATGCGAGTTCAACCGACATTTGCAATGAAATTATTTACTCTTCTTGTAGAAACTGTTTGTCTTCACTACTGTGCCTCTTCCAGCAGGCTGCTGAAACTGATTTTACTGACAGATCAGTGGACAGGAAAGAACCGGTGCTGAAGCAAATCACTCTAGAGGCTGATAACCTTTCGTGGTTGCTTGAGATCTTAGCTGACAGGCAAGCAGCTGATGAGTTTGCAGTTATGTGGTCGAAGCATCAGGAACTAGCCGCTCTACATGCGAAGTTGCCTATTGTTTCTCGTTACCATGTTAGCTGCATAACAGCAAGGTTATTCGTTGGCATTGGCAAAGGAGAGCTCTTACCAGCAAAGGAGACCCGTAAACTGTTGTTACACACATGGTTAGAACCGTTGATCAATGATTATAGCTGGTTAAAACACGGTTGTGGGTCGTTTGATCGAAAGGTCGTGGAGGAAGGAATTGGTCGGACGATCCTCACTCTACCTCTAGAGGATCAGCAGAGCATTCTGCTAACTTGGTTGGGCAGTTTTCTGAAGGTTGGGGATAGCTGCCCAAATCTCCAACGAGCGTTCGAGGTTTGGTGGCGTCGGACCTTCATTCGACCCTATGTTGAGGCACAAGGAAGCATTCACCAGCAAGATTGCTCAATCACACCCCAGTTGGGGCCTTAAATACATGCCAGTGCCAGCATATGATGGAATGCAAGTATAGATATGGATCGTTCAAGCATCTCTCTCTGAGTTGAAGATGAACAAAAACTGACCATTGGGGGGCAGGCAAAGTGTATTGCTTATAGTTTATTATGTCGAATGAATTTCGAATATCATCGAGAATGATCTCGATGAAGTGAATTGCTCTGTTTGAGTTCAATTTGAATGTAGTAGTATCAGTCGGATGTGCATTTTATACTCGGAATGCACCTCTGTTATCATTACTCATCCTTGTTGAAGTTGAAAATCAAGGTGTTGGCTGCTTTTCTTTGCTTATGCTATTGAAATTTACTTTGTAACACCAAGATAGAGCTATGGGTGTGTTTTCTGCAAGTTGTTTTATAAAACTGGTTTATAGATCTGTTGATTGATTTCTTTCTAAAATTTCAAATTACTGGAGACTTGAAATTATCATGCATATGATCATGTCTTCAAACGCAAAATTACTTTGGCAAGTTATTATATAGTATGAACAAAATATGAGTAATAAATTAACAAAATTGGAGGATCTAAGATTGTGGACTGGGATGGGTTGGGTTTGAAATTTGGGAATTTATTGTCCAACTCTGAAATAAAATGGGAAAACAAAAAATGTATAGGGACTTGCCGTACAGGAAAATTCATCCCCAACAATTAGTGAGATATATACAAAATGAAGAGTCAAAGGAGAACCATTCATTTTATTTTATTAAAAATTTCGGTCCTTTTCTTTTCAACTTATGTTTATTTTAGTCTTTGTACTTTCAAAAGGTTCGTTTTAATTGTTATACTCTTAAAAGGAAAAAAAAAATTATGAATACATTTCAAAAAATTTATTGAATAGAGATTATAACGGATAAAAGTTGCAAATATAGAAACTAAAATATACGTTTCAAGAGTACAAAGACTATAATAGATCACAATAATATTTTTAAACCTAATATTTTTTCATAAAGTATTGAAACTACATTTTTTATAAAAAAGTTCTGACTAATTACAAGAAGAATAATAATTAAATAATTTTTTGAAGGAAAAAAAAGAGCTAAAACAATCTAATTTAAGAGATTAGCAAAGGATATGGGTAGAACGACGAACAAGGGAAAAAAGCATGAGCTCTTTTTGATTTATATTTAAAAAAATGAAATTATATAACACAAAGAAACAAGTGTGAAAATGGTTGGATTGGCTCGTTTGATTAATCAATTTGTTTTTTATTTTCTACTTTTTGAAAATTTAACTTAGCAATTATAAACTCTACTTGCTATTTCATTTCCTTGTTTTTTTTTTTAACAACGTTTTCAAAATCTAAATTAACTTTTTAAAATTTTAAAAAAAGTAATTATTTCACTAAGAATTCTAATAAAAAACAAAAGAAAAAGTAGTGCTAGGAGAAAATGTATGTAGAAGAGATATCTGTGAGGAAATATAAAGCGATATTTGTAAGAATGACATGTAAGTGAAGTGGGTAATGGGTCAGAATTGAATACAGAGGAGCCCTAATTAAGTTGGGCCCAGATGAAGAAGACGTCAGGGATGGGCCCAAGAGGTGAAATTGGCATGCGGGCCGGCCCAGGTAGGAAGCCCATGTGGGACCAAAAATTATGACGACATAATTATTAAAATTTTAGGAAATTGATGTTGGGTTTGTTGGCTGCCGGTTGGTTTGGTTGGTTTGAAATCACGTGCCGGATGCGTGCCCGCGTACGTAAACAAGACAAACAAACCATTCTGCAGATTCAGACCATCACTTCACCCTTTGTAATAAAAAAAAATCATTGAGTTTTTATTATTTCTCTTCAGTCTCCCCTCATAATTTCTCCAGAAATTATTTAATATTTTTTAGCCCTTTC